GGGTTGTTGTGGCCGAAGTGCAGGACCCGGCATTTGGCCTTGTTGAACCTCATCCCATTGGCTCCAGCCCACGAGAGCACTCCCTGTGCATGCAGCAGCACGACTAGCTAGCAGTGGACTGGGCTTGGTGCTGCCATTCAGCTCCTCAAGGCCTCTAAGGAGGGAGATGCAACTCTATTAGGATTGTTTTATACATTAATATCTGAATTCTAGGTGATAAAGGCCTTCATATTTAATCACATCCTTGAGCTTTGACTTCTTAACTAATGTCTTCAAGTCTACACTGTGGTGTTCCTACCTACTACTAAAACTTAAAACTTAACTACAATGCCATTGACAATAAACACTGTGCTTTGCAGAAATGGATTTTTCTCTGCTGACTTCCAGAACGGCCATTCTTGAAATTCAGATATTATCAGTCCCAGGGTTTTACGAGGATGAGAGATGATGTCAGAACCCATTCCCAGCACATGAGTAAAAAGATCCAGTAATGAAAGGAACGTACAAGAAACACCAACCAACCAACCAAACAAACAAACAAAAACATCTTTTCAAGCCTGAATATGATGCTCATTTAGAAAATATTTCCATATCTGAAGGATGTGGGATTTGGGAAATAATGACAGTGGTGGTTTTCAAGCAAAAAAATAAATCACCATTTTCTATTATTTCAGCCTGTGTTCTGGCACAGACATCCAAAATATGGAAAGCATAGGAAGTTATTTCAACTCAATCCATTTATAATTGATTTGTAGCAGAAGAGGCAGCAGAATAATAAGGATGTGTGGTAATTACCTCCTGAACCATGAAGAACTCTCAAGTGAAACACTTACCTTGAAGCAGCCAATACTTTGAAAATCATAGAATCATAGAATCATCAAGGATGGAAAATGTAGGTTAGAATTAGAAAGGAATATAGATCCTCTGATTTCAAGCTCTGAGTTTGCTCTGTCTTTCTGCCTGCCTAAGAGTTTCTGCCCATGGCAAACTCATCATAAGGAAGATCTGTTTATCCCATGAATAAAACAGCCTGCCTTGCTATTCATTTTTAAGACCTGGAGACTTTTAGCATTTCTGCACACCAAGACCAAGATCTCAGCTGCCAACTCGAAGTCTCTTGGGGACTTTCATCATACCTCAGCAGCATTTTTCATATACAAAATATGTAAAAACAAAGTACTTTAAAACCACGTGCGTGACAAGAGGAAAGAAAAAAGGGAGGCAAATATTGCCAAGTACACAGGGCAGGTTGTAGCTGGGACACTCATGGTCAAATAAAGCAATCTAGCTTCAGCCCACTTATCTGGGTGCTACACAATTCTCCAGCATCTAACATCACTTTGTTGTGATGAAAGAGCAAACAGTGAACAGCTCTCAGGCTGTTACTGAGGGCAGTGTGAGGATCAGGCAGATCGAGGAGCAGATGGCCAATGGCTGCCCTCCAAACTGAAATGAACTCTGAACTATCAGAAATACAGATTGATTTTCTTCCATGAGTTTCCTCATGGACGTGACCATGATTCTGCCTTGAAAACTCTACTGAATTGGAATAAAAACTGCTGCTCTACTGATTTGTGCACCAACCAGCAAGTGTTGTCTGAGTTGATATATTACCAGCTGTAAAGTCTGAAAAGCTTCTCCCTGTACCAGCAGCAAAGTTTTCCTCAATGCCTCTCAGGGATGATCTCTGTATCCTCTTTAAAAAAAGAAAAAAAATAAAGTGTGTATAAATCAAAATTTCATTGACTGAAGTCTAGAGAAAGTGCCCCAAGTACTGGCGTGGCTTTTAATGCATTTGGGAAGCAATGGTGGTTAATTTAAAAAGCACACTCTGTTAGATGAATTACAGAAAAGTGTGATGTTCTGAAAGAAATGACTGGAAGAAGAAAGAATTAAACTATGTAACACCATGGAACTAAGCCAACGTAGGGTCAGCTAACCTAAGCCTAACCATGAGCTGACATAACCCTCTGCTCATGCATTATACCATTGACTCAATGGGTTTACCAGTGTAACTAACTTGAGGTGGGCTCAACAAACAGGTGATCTTCAGGTGATTAATTCACAGTATCTCATTCATTTGGACCTTTGTTTGGGGGTCTGAAAGCAATCAGAGCCATTATTACCCAGCAACAACAATACTAACAGTCATAGTCCCTTCCAACTCAGTCATTCTATGATTCTATGATAGTAAATGTTTTATTCTAAGTCTGTAAGTCTGGTTTTTAATGTCTCCAATGCCTTACTAAGCATCTCACTGCAGGTCTGCCTGCCCACGACCACTCCTGGGTTTTGGAAACCTGTGCAGACCCCTCAGGCCCCAATAAAGCTTTGATTAATTGTCACCTCCCATCCCATGTGCTGTAGAGAGATGATGACAAATGCACCCATTTCTTTCCATTATCGATGAATACAGCCCAAACAACTAACTTATACTGACGTGAAAGATCGAACAAGAAGAAAAGAGAAAGCTCTAACTCTTAAATTCCACCCTTCTTGAGATTCTTGGTGTCAAAAATTGTATGAATTTCATGGTCCTCCAAATCCTGATTGCATTTGCTTTGAAATCATAATGCCATGGAATCTTGAGGTTCAGTGACACCACTACACTTAGAAGAAAACTAAATACAAAATTCATACTCTACTTTCTTTCTCTACCAGAGATAAAGAAAAGCTCTGTGAAGTCCAAACTCCAAAAGGTTCCTGAGGGGCTGCAACATAAAATTCTCTTATGCTTCTGTATGGAAATTACTTGTGTCAGTTGCTGACTTACCGAGCATCCTTATTCCTGTTACTGTCTCCAAAGATAAGCTGCTGTAGAACACAAGCTTGAACTGCTGCCAGCACTCCACATGGGCCACCCTGAGAGGAACAATTGGACACTCCATTAACAAAACACTTTGCCCTGTTTGACGCCGGACAAAACTAGTCTGCAAGCCAAGTGATTCCTTTCAGGCTTCATCCATCCTTTAATCTCCCTCTTTCCATCCATGACTTTGCAATGCTCTCTGTTGCTCTCTGTTTTTTGCAAGCCACTGAAAATCAGAATTACTGACTGGTAATGTGTTTCACATCCATTTTCCCAGAATATACCTAGAACTTGCCACACTGGCATGGGTCAGTGGGTAGTATGGGCGGTAGGTGGATGGTTGGACTAGATGGGCTTAGAGGTCTTTTCTCTCCCCCCCTCTTCATCAGGGGGAAATTCTTTACCCAGAGAGTGGTGAGGTATTGGAACAGGCTGCCCAGAGAGGTTGTGGATGCCCCGTCCTTGGAGGTGTTGAAGGCCAGGTTGGATGGGGCCCTGGGCAGCCTGGTTTAGCATTAAACGTGGAGGTTGGTGGCCCTGCATGTGGCAGGGAGGTTGGAGGTTCATGACCCTTGAGGTCCCTTCCAACCCTGGGCATTCTGTGATTCTGTGATTCTGTCTTTTCCAACCTTAACAATTCTGTGATTCTATACGATTCTATAATATCAAAGTCAGTGTAATGTCAAAGAGAATATTTTAGTGAGAACTATTGGTGATGGGTGGATAGTTGGACTGGATGATCTTGTAGGTCTTTTCCAACCTTGGTGATTCTATGATTCTGCGAAAGGAGAGTTGCTTTTTTAAGCTTGCTCTGTGCTCATGCAAACAAACAAAAGATGCTCTGATCCCTATGAGACAAGAACTACCTTCATTTCTAGAGAAATAACAAACTTGACTTTTCTGAAGGACAGAATTTAACCTTGCCCTTTAAATCCCTCTGAGCACCATGCCTTCCCTCAAATTCCCTCTTCTATCATTAATGAAAGATTTCAGTTTTATGTATACCTCTCTGCACTGGGAAGTTATTCCACTGCAGAAGGGAGAAAATAAAGGAAACTTGAATCCTTAAATCCTTTATGTTGGAAATATCACAATACCAACACGTATCATATTAATACAACATTGAATGTAGTGGGAAACAGATTAATGGCTGCTGTAAGAGACTGTGGGATGGCATAGCATTGAATTTCCTTCTCCTCCCTTATTCCCAACCACCCAGCCCATCTGATTCCACTGAATGACCAAGACTCATTTCTTTGCATTAACTAGATGGCAGATAGACAATTTTGCACCACCTCTGATTTCTTTGAGTGAGAGAATGGTTGTGGTTGGAAGGGACCAGAATGGGATCGACTTTTTATACAGTCTGATAGTGATAGGACAAGGGGAAATGAATTTAAACTAAAAGAAGGGAGATTTAGCTGAGATGTGAGGGGGGAATTCTTTACTCAGAGTGTGGTGTGGCAGTGGATGTCCCAGCCCTGGAGGTGCCCAAGGCCAGGATGGATGGAGCCCTGGGCACCTGAGCTGGTGGCTGGCAACCAGACCATGTCAGAAGGGTTGGAACTAGATGATGATGAAGGTTCCCTCCAACCTAAGCCATTCTGTGATTCTATAATCTTCAGTAGATTCCTTCCATCTCAAATCTCCTAGCAGACTTTCCAAGGTAACATCATCCAGTGGAAAGCAGTAACACTGAGGAAAGCAAAGACTCTTTAGAAGACTTATTTTTTCACTGCTAAAACACTGTAAACTTCATGTAAAAAGCAAAGATCCCTTTTTTTTTTTAAGAAGCTCACTTACAGTACCTTTTTTTGTACAATGCCATATTTTAACTGAGGTATGTTATTAAATGTAAAACTCTGTATTTTCCATTCTTCACTGAAGCAACAAAGACTGGAGCCAAACAGAAGATTTTTTAATTCCTATTAAAAAAAAAAAAAAAGATGTATGATTTTAAAAGTAAATAACAAATATATATACATGCACTAATGTTTTCTAGCAGTCATTTGTAGAAAGAAAGGCGGAGTGTGGCAGGGTAATGACTAACTCACTATAGCCACCCTTTTCTCTTTTATACTTACTGTAAATAGCAACACCCAAATGGGATGGAATAATTTTTTCCTTTTCCTGCAATATTACTTCAGCTCATAACGCCGTGCATTGCTCAGCACTAGGAAACTGTCTAGGCAGATTGGCTGGAGCAGTTTCCCATGGAAGCATTACAAAATAGTGCCTCAAAGCTACAGCAAAAGGGCGATGGCTGGCAAAAGTGAGAAGAGGACCCTGCTGGACACAGAAAAGGCAGAAGCCCATTTTGCTTGTCAATGTTGCTGGTATAAGGCAAATGTTCAGAGATTTACCTGTGTCTGCTGGCAAAATTCAAATTCAGATCTTGGCCCTGAGTGACTGCAGACTCTGCTACTAAGGAATAGCTAAGCTGAAGAATTGCTTTCAGTCTAAAGTAAGGCTGAGCAAATAAGGACTGACTGCTCAAGGTTTGCACCATCACTTTGATACGTCTTTGACAGAGAATTAAGTCAGGAGAAATCCTCATTATCTTTTCCCCGTGGCTTTTTTAATGATTTTTTGTTGCTGTTGTCTGAATTGGAATTAAAAATTAAAAGCACTTAATATTTACATCTCTGCTCGAAGCAAGGAAGGTGAGCAAAGGAGAAGCAGTGGTGAATCAGTCAATATGAGGACAGGTAGACAAGCACATGCAAAACTGACAAGAGCTATTAATAAAATAATATGTGCTTCTTCACTTAAAGCCCTAATCTGTGGTTCAAGTGGCTGATAATTTCCCACATGCTCTTCTGGTATTCTTCTGAATTCTGTTTGGTGTCCCTACATTACCTTTATATATGGATCCCAAATAAGGACGATGTACAAGAGTATGCACAGCAAGAGTTAAAGCACAAACAAACACACAACACAGAACAATCCATTGCTGCTCTGACTGAACAGAAATGACCATTTCACACTTCCATTTCTATGTTCCATCATAGCCTTACTTTTGCAAGAGAAATATCGATCGCCTTTGACGCTTCTTGAAGCGTGTGCAGTGCTGAAAGATTCAGGTTCCTACTGACTTCTCCAGCTGTTGCTTCATCTTCAACATCAACTGAAAGTAAAGAAAGAACATAGAAGGAGTTGGAGGAAAAAAAAGGTATGTTTGCTCCCACCAGTAGGGGAAATGATAGACTTAGAAAATAAATAAGGCAAGGCTGAATGGGGCTTTGACCAACCTTGTCTGGTGGGAGGTGTCCCTGCCCATAGCAGTGAGGTTGAAACAAGATGTTCTCTGAGGTCCCTTCCAGCCCAAATCATTTCATAATTCTATGATAAGCCACCTTTTCTTTGATTATTTCTAAATAATTTCTTCACGGTCTCACCAGAGAATAGCAAATGCAATTACTCCAAATCAACTAAGCGCCGCCAAAGAAAAGATTCAAACATCTGTGACCACAGTTTCTCTATAGAATATGTTGGTGAAAGCCAAACTGACTCTGAGCAAACTTACCTAATTCCAGGGTATCTTTCATCTGCTCTTCTTTATTCCAAGTGGATGTTGGGGACTTCCTACATTAAAATAATCGAAAAACAAATAAGTGAATGCTTGCTTTAATGAGAAATGTTTCTTGAATAAATGAGGAAAAAAAAAAAGTGGTAAAATCAGGCAAAAATAAAAATATATAAAATTATTCAATGTCTTTTATCTTAGGTTTTAATGCGTTCTGTATAGAAGAGCACAGGTTCATCAACATCTGTGTCCAAATAAACGGTGTTAGAACAAAAATTTCTTTACTGGAAAAGAACTGAACTTGAGGAGTTCATCTGGAAAGGCAGTCTGCAAAGAGCAGCACAATGCAAATGGTCCAGGATTTCAGTCCTACCTCAACGCTGACTTAATTTCATCTGCATGATTTCAGTAGAGGTCAGACCTTGCCTGCTCATCAACAGAAGCAGATAAGTACAGCCCTCAATTTAGAATCATAGAATCATGGAATCACCAAGGTTGGAAAAGACCTCAAAGCTCACCCAGTCCAACCGTTCACCTATTCCCAATAGCTCCCACCAAACCATGTCCCTCAACACAACATCCAGCCTTTCCTTGAATTTTGTGTGGGAATTCAAGTACGTGGGACTACCTGAGTTCAGAAGGTTACAACATGAGCTGATATCCCTGATGGGGACCAGGATGAGGTTGAAACTGGTTATTAAGCTACTTTAGATATCCAAAACATGCAAGTGAGAATCAGTGTTCGATTAGGTGCCTCTACCAGGGTAATTTTTCATCCACTCATAGGTAACAGTTGCTCAAAAGGGACATGATTTAGTGGGAATCTTGGTGGTCGGCGGATGGTTGGGCAGATGATCTCAGAGGTCTTTTCCAACCTTGGTGATTCTACAACTCTATAGAATCATCATAGAATCATAGAATCACCAAGGTTGGAAAAGACCTAAAAGCTCATCTGGTCCAACCGTTCACCTATCACCAATAGCTCCCACTAAACCATGTCCCTCAACACAGCATCCAAATGATTCTATGATTCTATGATTCTACTACATGCTCTTGCAATTTCTCTATTACACAAATGACAAGTTAAAACTTCACAAACAGAAACACTGAAGGGACTAAGCAGTTCAGCTTGGCTGTGAAAACACAAGTTAAATAGAAAGTTGTATTTTGAGAGGCGAGATGGGTTTCCTCTTCCTGTAGAATTCGTACCAAAATGAATTCAGAACTCAGGAAAAGTCTCAAATAACTGTTGTAAAAAGATGATCTTTTTTTTTTTCACAGTAGCAGCGCTGTACCACTGGCCTTTGCTTTGGAAAAAATGGTATTGCACTGACAGACCTTTCAGAAATAGTATGGGATAATTTCCTCAGCAACATCCTTTGTGTGCATGATATTATTATAGCAACAACTGCTGTCATATCACATACTTTCCATTAACTTAATTTCCTTTTTCAGTATGTGAAAAATGAATGAAAACAGAACACACACACATATCACACTCAAGATTCTTCCACTTTAAGATCTTTTTGGTACATTGGCAGTCTTTGATATTGAAATAATAGAAATGCCTTTCTTTCTGTGTATATATATGATAAAAAGGATTTCATGTGCACATCTACAACTAAGAAAATACAGAACACAAATGAAAACCACCACATTACTAAGGATTCAAGGTAAAAATAAATCAGATGTCTAACACGTAAGCATAGACAAGAGAACCTAGAGCAAACACATACAGTGCAATTTGTACAGGATTCCCACTGAACAAACAGTACTTTTTGCTATACTGGATTCCAACTCAGACTTCTTTCTCTCACTTGCTGTTTTATTTTCATCTCTCCTGGTCAGAGGAGTCTCAATGACACTAAATTTGCAAATAAACTGTTTTTCAGCCAAGTACTGATGCCACTGAGCTGCACTTAGACTCAAACAGAATCCACATTCTTGTTTTGTCTGAGTTTGCAAACCATTGTCTCTTGTTTCCTAGAGAATAATGTGTTTCCTCCTAGGTCAACCCATTTGGATCTGGTTTTCAAAACAGAGCTATTCATGCTAAAGAATACAGCACTATCATTTACAGCTATTGAACAGGTCTGGAAGGAGACAGGATTTAGAACACACTGTTTCTAGTTTCCATGTTTCCTAACATGGCTCTGACCCACGCCATCCAAGATTCTCCCAAGCAGTGCCCAAAGAGAGCTCACAGAATGGCATGCTGCCATTTAACAGCAGGACTGGCCCTACCAAAACCACTCCAGTAGGCTTCATGTCCTCAAACATCCCACCATGCCATACTGCCCTTCATTTTCACTTTATGAAAGCACTCCACCTGAGGATGCATCAACAAATTGACATTTCAGAGCCAATTCTCTCCAGCTTAACAAAGCAGCTCAAAAAAAAAAGGAAACAAAATTATATTTGACAGCCACAACCTGGAAGAGATCTAAAGTCAAATGCTACGTAATATGAACACAGCCCGGATACAGCAAGAAGAGTCAAAGCCAGAGAGCTGTACCTGGATCTGTTTCACTTAGCAGCACAGATTTAAGTACAGACTTTCAGGACAGAAGGAGGCCAAGCAAGGTGTGGTTAATTATCCTTTTCCATCAGGAACCCATTCCCACTACATCAACACTACGATCGAGGAAGTCAGTGAGTTCTCAGAAGTTATTAGTCTCCATTTATATTTTACTGCACCTTGCTACATAGAAAGCTCAGGATTTAAATACGAATTTAGTCTTGGGTGTTGAAAACAAGTGCTGATGTTGTCTGGCAATCACAAATACAAGGACAGGATCTACCTTTTAGTGCTCTTGCTTCTCCTACATATTCTTACATATTTGTCCCTCAGCTCTCTGTCATTTTGATGGTACCCAGCTCCCTAAAGCACAGATATCCCACTTCATACATGGAAAAAATTGAGGCTGATTAACTTGAGAGGATGATTTTCACAGCATTAATCAGCCTAGGTGTTGCAATAATTATCTTGTCACAGTTCAAAAGAGTCACAAGCAACTTACACATCTTTCTGCAAACTTAAACCCTGGCACATTAAGCAGTTAATAGGACATCACGTCAATACCCATGTGCTTGAAACAGACAGTGTTTAGATCTGAGTGATTGTCACAGCATCACAAAGGGCACAGGATTCAATCTGCAGATTATTAACCTAAATTTAGTTGCCTGCATAGTTGGGTGTCAACATTCCCATGGCAATTGATTCATGGCTGAGTCAGCACTCAGGAGGCTCAAGCCAAGAGGTTCAAAAGCCCTTCAGACAACTAAGTGTATGTGCAACAGGTAGGAACTCGGGCTTCTGGATTTACATAAGGTCCCTTAGGTACCTCATCCTACCTGGCCTCAACCGCTGCTTCAGCAGGACTTGGGTTTTCTGCCAGCATCATCAGATGTCTTGGGTAGCTCAGAATCCCAAAGGGCACTAAATGCATTTGTTTAAGCGTATCTAGAATTGCTGACATTAAGTTGGCATTCTTGATTAATTTTTGTCCCAAGCACTTCTCACTCGCGTTTCATCCGAAAAATGGGTAAATGAAAATAAAGCTGACTGTGGCTCAAGGACCATTTTTGGTAACACTACTGCTTTCTGGTGAGGATAAGAGACGTTGGTTACACACCCGTTCCTGGAAGAACCAAGCCCTGAATGCAAAGTGCTTTGATTTCTCAAGGCAGAAGGAAATTCCTATCAGGCTGAGGAAAGCGTTGACATCAAAGATTGATGTCGGGTGTTTTCTGGTTAAGTGGGGCATTTTTGCAGATGGAGGTTAGTCAAAAAGTTCTCTCCTTAAGGTTTCTCAAAACACTGTCGGGACATTTATTGCAATTTCCATTTCAGCAGATGGTTACAGCTCCAGGAAAATTTATTGTACATGTAAAAGCGTACAGTTAGAATGCTTAGGAAGTCGTCTGCCAGGGCAGAAAAATGGGACAGGAAGAAAATATGTTTCATTATAAACATCCTATACAGTACTTTCTCTAAATATTTGAACATTCCTATCTGATTTTCGGGTATGGTAGAAAACAATTTACACAGAAGAGCTGAACATGCAGAAAAAGCAGTTATCTTCACAATAACGCATCTGCATTCCACTGTTTCCTATTTAGATTACTGTATGTATAGGTAAAGAAACAAACTGGCTTAAAATAAAAACATTGATTACCAGTAGCTTTAAGGCTTCTGTGTTGGGAAAACTTGTTTTCGCTGCTCGATGAAAACAGCTTTTTCTACTGGACACGTTGCCTTTACTGCATGGCAATTTACAGTGCCAGAAGGATGCCTGGAAGTCACAGCTACACTGTCCTGTGCACTACACTTCAACCAAAGCATAGAAAAAGTAGGATAATGAAAGTGTAGCTTGACCATTCACACACCCATCAAAGATTTCTTGGCATGGCAGCCCCACACAGCGTTATAAAGGCACACAACAACACATTTTAACTGATCATTACAACCCCCCAGATCAAACAGCAGCAAAAGAAACACTTATCAGTGAAACAAGAGGGCTAAAATTCCTTTAAATACAGATGATCCAAGACATCAGCAAAGAGATACAACACAAAGCACAGGGATGGGCTCCCAGTGCTCCACACTCAATTAATTCACACCCCTGGAGGTGAGCACCATTCAGTTTGCCCTATGAAGTACACATCCCTTTTGCTTTTGGCCTTCAACTTTCAGGCCATTTAGTTTTAAAGAAAGTTCTCGGCCTTCCAATTTCATGTTAGAAACCTTCCATTTTTAAGAGTAAACTGACAGGCTTCAGCAAAATAAATTCTCTTCCTGAAAGCTGATGTCAGATGTCAACTGGAAGAAGACAACAGCTTGCACTGAAGGCTGGACTTCATCTTAGAACTCATTTTACTACGAAAACTCAAACATAGAGAACAGCCTACTGGCAAACGTGTGCACTGTCCTGTTACAGCAATCTTAGGGGAGTAACGCAGAGGTGAAAACAAATTCCTTCTGCTTCTTGCAATCAGTGGTGTTGTTTTTAAGGAGGAGGAAATTCCTTGTGCTTCTTCCAGCAGTGTGATGTTCTGC